CTTCAAAGGAAGCAGCTTTCATATAAAAAAATAACTCACCCTCATTAAACGTTAGACACGACCGTTCCTGAATATGCCATTGCTTTGCTGGAACCTGACATGGACAAACCTGTCCTCGGCAGACCCGGGTGAGGGAGCAGTAGAAAAGTGTGCGGGGGATGGGGGAGAGAGAAATGCATTGCGTGACAAAATTAGGTTGAGCTTCATTTACTTGCAGATCACTTCCGATAGCGTGCGGCACTAACGCGTTGGCAATCTCCCGTGGCCAGCGAGCCGGGCCCGTGACTACCGATTTGCGCCTGCCGGGTCGGCCTGGCCCCCTCCACGCCCACCACCACAGGCCGTCAACGGCGGAAATGGGGAAGCAATCTGTGATCATTAACTTCGCCTGTGCGCGTGTATCGATCACGGCAAGGACAACGAATGAGCCTTCAAGCCACCGCGACACGTGCACATGCTGCGCGATATTTGTTTGAAAAAGAAACTTCCGTGGAAAGGCATTCATCCGGCAGTGATTACGAAAAACGCTCAACACAACTCGTCAATGACAGTGGCATTTAAAAAAAGCGAAAACGATATCATCGGTGACGTTCGAGACAATGAGGGCCCTTCCTCACAACACGCAGAGGTGCCAGTGGAGTGACAAAGTGTTGAAAATAATCATTGACATCATCTTGATTTGAAGCTTTCGTGACTGCAGGAATTCATACTCTCAGGTTCTTTCGGTAAAGGCACGTAGATGGAGAAAGAATAAAAGAAAACACGACGTTTTGGCCGCAACACCGAAATCGTCGTTTTCTTTTGTTATTTTTTCTATCTACGTGACTTTCCCGAAAGCACCAGAGAATAATCATTGACATGTACGGCCCTTTTATTGATCCACTGCTGGATGAAGGCATACCCGTGGCTGGGCGGGTCGTACGGGTTATTTGTCCAAACGCAATCATGCTGGCCACTGCGGGTTGGTGGAGGCAGTGAGAATATATGTACGTAGAAGTACAGTACAACTACGTCCTTTGTTGCGCTCAAAAAACAGACAATTTGTTCGGATGTTGGGAGCGTTCAGCTTCATTTTACTGCTTAAGTTGTCTGCCTTTGAGCCAGTGGTGGAAAACTAAAATGTCTAAAGTACGACCACTGTTGCCTTCCACAACGTGGTACTGTACTCACTATATCCAACGGAGCATTCACTTCGGGGAGTACTATACAACTGGAATCACAAATCCCTCACATATTCTCAGCTTTGTTGGCCTTGAGTTTGCCCTTGAGTTTGCCCTTTTGCTTTTACAGATTTTGTTCGTGTTGCTGACTCCTGCCAAGGCTACTACAATTGTGTCTGCGAATCTATGCATCGTCCTCGGGCGCTGTGCTTTCGAGCTAAACAGATTCCGTTACCTGCTTTAAATCCTAATCATCATTAGAAACACGGCTGACCCACGAATAATGTTTGTGGCAGCCGATTTAATTTCCGCTCGAGACAGCTCAATAAAGTCCCAATTTCCATTGTGTTTATCTAATGAGCATTTAGACCACATACACATCTCCTGCGGTTGTTAGCGACTCTGTGATCTCCTGCAAATCGTTCACGCGATTTTGGCTAGCAGATGCTATGCATCGGCTAGCGTACGAGCAATACAATACCGCTTTGCTACTTGGATGTATGAACGTGATCTTCCAGAATAACGACGCAATGGAGTGGTAGCTCCTGCAATCTCTCATTTACTTGATACAGCTGTCGGGCTGTGACGGTTCCACCTGAAGACGGAAGCTTGTGTTGACTCCGAAACGTCGTGATTTTTATTTTATTTTACTTTTATTAATTTTAATGTTTTACCTACGTGACTTTACCGACAAAACCTAAGAATATGAATCCTTGCAGTCACGAAAGCTTCAAATCTAGAAAGTAGAACAGCGCACACATCCGGGAGCAATGCCATCGTGGAGATGGAGCGACGAGACCACGTGTGTGTGTGTGCGGCAGATCGATAGATTGCTGCTTCGTGACATCACGAGTCGTCACATCATCCAGCAGATGGTTGATCACAGCTGAAGATGATGAAAAGTAGCAACATTCCAGTGGGTGGATACCTATATCGTTCGTAAGGGGCCGTCCATAAATGACGTCACGCACCTAGGGGGGGGGGGTCAGACATTTGTGACGAGGGGGGGGGGGGGTGAGAAATATGACGTCACATCAAAATGCGCAACTTTAAATAAATATAGACAACACGTTCTACTTAATTAAATCGACTTTTTGATCAATGTTTTCTCCTACAACATCAGAGTGCAGCGGCACTTTAAATACGCACTACAATGACAATAGTTTAAAGCGATTTGAAGCCTGTTTTTTTTTTGGGGGGGCAGAGCTTTGTGACGTCATATTTGAGGGGGGGGGGGTCAAAAATCGTCCAAAATCGCGTGACGTCATTTATGGACGGCCCCTAAAAGGGTTTGTTTTTTTGGGTGAGATCACGTAAATATGAATTCGCCGTTAACCCACCACCACCTGACACCATCAATTAGTAAGGTTTGTCACGTATTTACTACTTCAGTACACCGGTGTGGTGGAGAGTAAACCCACAACAATTACAATTTGAGTACGACGTTTCGCTGGTAATCACAACCAGCTTTATCAGGCGATTTTCCAGAATTTTAAAGAAGAGTTCCTGTTTTTGGTCTTTAATAGAGTAAGGTGATGTGATCAATGTGACTATCAAGTGAAAAGATCAGAGGGGGGTTAATGGTATTGATCAATTACAATGGATTATGTTAATCTGATAATATGCAGAAGCTGTATCATCATCAGCAGCAGCAGCTGATGATGTGCCCATATGTAGAGTAGTATATATTTGTTTTAAAACAAGGAGTTTGAAAATATCCAATCACCCTATCATCTTGCCAGTTCTGACTAACTGCGAGGTCCAATTCCACTCCATCCCTTATCCCCAAATCGATGTTCCTTCACCAGAACCTTCAGGTATATTTGCATTTAGATGCTATGTAAATTGAAATGGTATTGTATTTGACATATCTCGCCCCCCCCCCCCTAATAATATATTAATTTCAGCTAATAAATATACGTTGACGCGTTTGTCATAAAGGATTTGCGGAGATTAGACGGCTGCATATTGAACGCGATTTGAGTTATTTCATTTGACATCGGCGCATACGATAAGTCTACCGCGACAGCTGCAGGGTGGAGGGGTTAGCGGGCAGCTCAGTGGTTAGCGCACTGCACTATGCACCGGGAGACCTGAGTTTGATTCCCATCCACATCTGACATCAGTGGCGAGTCATATCTGAACTGATTCTGGCCCCCCGACCCCAAAGACAAAAAGATTTCCCGCATATTTCTAGATTTGAAGCTTTCGTGACTGCAAGGATTCATACTCTTAGTTCTTTCGGTAAAGTTTTTTTTACCTACGTGACTTTACCGAAAGAATTAAGAGTATTTCCCGCATAGCCTGTAACAGACTGCTGGGGCAAGTGCTGTGTTGGCGAGCACCTATGAAGGTCGGCATTGCACACGAGGGAGTGGGTGTACCCAGCACCACGCGCGGCCGCCTTTGTCTCCCTAGTCGAACTAGGGGAGGCCCAGGACCGGTTCAGATAAATCGTCACTGGTGTTGGCTGTTAGCGGCAATCGAATTCGGGTCGCCAGGTTCGTAGCGCAGCGCGCTAACCGCTACACCACCGCTCCCCTTCACCAACCCACATTGATCAGCGTGGTTAAGTACGGTCAAAAACATCGATAAACGACACAGCAGGAGACCTACATCCAGCAGGGGATTGACAAAGGACTAAAGTAGCACGTTCCTCAGCTGTCTACATTTATAAAAATGGCAACGCTTTGAATAACACATATTTTTTTATCCGCATTTTATACGTACAAAATCTGGGGTAAAGGGATATTAGCGGGAGCCTTTAAAAATAACCAATGTGGCCAGCACGATGCCCAGCTGTACCTGTGCGTTCCTCGCGTTGCTGTTCGCACACACTGCGGCAGCAGGTAACTCATTCCAAGCGAAAGACCTCGGGAGTTTCATATTCCGTTTGCCGCTGCACTTGTGCACGAACATAACATTGTATCCATATCGAAGTGATTGCAGCACAGTTGCCCTGCCGTGCCTCTACTCGCACTGTGAGAGTCGTGGCACGGCATACATAGGCGTGAAGACCGTTTCGGGCGTGGTATTAAAATAAATTTCGCAAGCCGTGCCGGACATGTGCTAGGCGGTAATCAAGAGCCCCTCGTGAATACAACACAGGCGACGTGGACCGCAGTCCGGCAGGTGACATGTCTCGAGAAAAATCCGCTTCTCTCTGTGCTCGGCAGCATCTTCTTAATAAGGATAAGGATCTGCATGTGTTGGGGGCTTAATACCACGGTATATCAAAGGCTGGGTGACTCAAGAGGTCAGAGAGCTGAGCCGGCGATGCTGAGATCTTGAGTTCAAATCGGGGCATCGTCATGTGATGAACAATCACATGAATTGAGTTGTGCGCCTTTTGGCGTCATCTGGTCCAACACCATGTGAGACTAGGATCTAAGAAAAGCTGTCTCGGGTGTGGACCAATACATTTCAAGGACAGTGCATACATTATTAGAGTTGTGTTTTTTGTTCGCATTCTGACTGCAGGTATTGTGGTCAATGCAAACATGACTCCTTGTAAAAAAAAGGTGTCAGTTTTGTTGCCAGATAAAATGGTAAAAAAAACTATTATCAATCACATTAAGTTCCATCTGCGAGGATTTAACGTATCAGTTAGACTGCAATACGACAATGATAACTCTCCATAACAGAGCGTATTGGAAAAGTGCTGTCCTCAGCATACGTAGATAGGCATTCATTACATATTACCTTGAATGTAATATAACTCTGGTTGCTCCATCTGACCCGCAGAGGACAAGGTGAGAGGGAGGTGTAACACGATGACTGTGACTTGTGAGAGCGAGCCGCAGTTTCCGATACCGGCCGCGTCCCTCCCTCGTCTACCAGACGCAGGAGTCGCTCAACCCCAACAACCTCGAGTACTGGATGGAGGAGATCTACACGCCGGGCTACGACTCGCTGCTCAAGCGCAAGGAGGCCGAGTTCCGGCGCGCGAAGCTCTGCAAGATCGCCGTGCTGGTGCTGGTGGCCGTGTGCACCGTCGTCTTGGTCATCGTCGTGCCCATCTGCACCGTGCGCACGTGAACGCAGCGCGAGCCACGCGCGGCGCGGCGCGACCCCAGCGGCCGGCGCGCGTGAACTGTCTCCTCCTACTCCTCCTGCCAGCCCGTCGTAGTTTTATAAATGCCACCTGCCCGCGCAAGCGACGCGCGCACACACACATAGCGTACACGCGCACATTACCGGAGCTGCATTTCTCACCGGATCTTTCTTTCCGCGGGGGTGGGAGGGGTTCGCTGGAAGACTGGATTTAGGTGGCACCGTGACTAGTTGTTAGCCACCGCCGCAGCGGTCGGTATGATGGATGTGATGGGGCCGTTTGCGTCGATGTGTCCCGGCTGAAGTGGAGCCCTCCGACTCGATTCGCGTCGCCAATTCGTTCGGGCTCGTAAGCTGCAGCAGCAGCACAGACAGCTATCAGAGGCGTTGTGCGAGTATCCTTACCGGGTGCTTTCCCTCGGATGCACTTGCGGGCAATCCTCGTTAGAAACACGGCTGACCCACAAAGAATGTATGTAGCAGCCGATGTCATTTCAGCTCGATACAGCTCAATAAAGTAACACCGCAATGGCTTTAGATCTTAAAACATGTAACAAGTGGATATTTTGTTGCTGACAAAGTCCGTGGAGGGTATCAAGGTTGTTTTTGTTTTGGTGATCTATTATGAAAGAAATTATAGACGGCGTTCGTGGCTGGCAGCACAGAATATTTTAATTGACTTCGCTCTGGGCATTACACATTTAAGCCCAGCCCATCAATAGCGCTTGCACACAAATATAATCCTGCTGAAAAGGCATGGCGAGTTTGCTATTCTTTTCTGGCACGCGAATTTATAGGCCACCGCAGAACTTGTGAAACTGAAACCTTCACGAGGGCAAATTTGGTCCAATGCTTGCAATGCAGTGTCCAACAGGCTCGATCTCCCAGTGTGGGTTTAAAGCAGTGGTTCTTAACTTGGGGTGCACGCACCTCTTGGAGGTGTGAGATACCCCTGCTGAGGGTGTGAGATGTACCAATTGTTTTTTAGAAGGTAGATCATCGAAGGTAAATAATCGAAACATGAATTAAGCATGCGCGCGTAAGTACAACTACTTTGTTTCATTAATAAATGTTTTAACGATTGAGAACCGAATGGATACAAGCCTGCAGTAACGGGTAACAATCACTGATTTAAAGAATGGGCAAGCCTCGTAAATCCCCCCCCCCGCCTCTACCGACCCAGCAATGTGATTGGTTACTCAACGGTTGGTCGGCCGACAGCTCGCGGTGTGGTAGGTGTGGCGGGGTAGGTGTGCTGGGGTAGGTGCGCTGGGGTAGGTGTGACGGGGTAGGTGCGGCGGGGTAGGTGTGATGGGTGTGGTGGGGTAGGGGTGCTGGGGTAGGTGTGGTGGGGTAGGTGCGCTGGGGTAGGTGCGCTGCGGTAGGTGTGGTGGGTAGGTGTGCTGGGGTAGGTGTGCTGGGGTAGGTGTGCTGGGGTAGGTGTGCTGGGGTAGGTGTGGCTTCTGCCATCGTTTCCTGGACGGTCTGGCTCGCGTGGAAGAGTGGCCGAAAATGGTCTCGACAAGGTTCTCCCCGTACAGATCCCTTCAGAGGAAGCCCTTCCACCAGCAGTGGGGTGGGAAGCAAATTGCAGCGCTGCCCCTTTACATTTTTTTGTCACATAAGTGGCACACCTCGGCCAGCGTGGGGACAACTGCGGTGCCCGTTTAGGAAGCTGCCAAACAAAAGCACCCCGAGGGTAGAACAACCAAAATTGTGCGCGTCGGATGCCCAACTAATTTTTTTTACGTAACCAGACACATTTTGTACTACGCACTCGAAAAGCAACACATTTAAAAGTGTCAATTCAAGTAACGTATTTTTAAAAAAGTCAATTTAACGATATAGAATGCTTATGATGAGGAATTCATGTAATCATAAATGTTCACAGTATCGTAAACTTAACAGTGCATGCGCTGAACTAAAACCACAACAATCGAGCAACGAAGGAAATATTTTCTCAACAATTCAAAGAAATTCAGATTTTATTCCTTTAAACGTGCCACGCATGGTCATTTTCTCTTGAATGCAGTCTATGGCCATGGGACATTCGGAGATGGGCAGTTCGGGACCTGGGGGGTCAGCTCTCTCCGCAGCGGACGAAGCGAAGCAGGCAGCGATCAACCCAAAATACAACTTATTCCTGCCCCTGTGGTTGTAATCGTGAACCATGGTCGATCCACCGCTGGATGAAGACTTCCCATCACCTGGTGCGATCCAGCGATGTAGTAATTCACCGAGCACCTGCACACGAGTTCACTTCATTGCCCCATCTATTCAGTGGACGTCCCGTCATTCTATTCCTTGGCTGCCACTCCGTCATTATTTCTCACCATCAGTCATCATCCATTCTGGTGACATGTCCCGCCCAAGACTGCTTCTGTTTCTAAACGGCGTGAATTGTCTTTCACTCGTGCGCGGCTCCATAATGTCACCGCAACGCCTCTGTTCCGGCTCACTCTTAATCTTATTACCGAATTCAACATTGCTTAGGTATCCAAGCCGTCACTGTTGCAAGCCTAACAAGCCTCTGTAAAGCGGTACCAAACTAATGAAAGTATAAATAACTGGACTCATCCAGCGCAGCCAACCAACAGTTATCCGGGCACATTGCCATAGTACATCCAGCAGCAACGTGCGCACAACAGCGATGAGTTAACACATTCCTGCGGAGGGAGCTGGTAGGAACGTTGGGTTGCTCGGTCAATGGCCAGGGTCAACGGCGGCGTGGTGTATTCCACAAATATGGCCGACTGTGAGGGCGGGCACAAGCCAGCGTGATTAGGTTAAACGTTGAGTTTTATAAGGGCACCACGGGGTGACCAGCCCCTCCCCACCCAGCCCCTCCCCACCCTCCCCTCTCCACCCGGCCCCACCCCTCCCATTTTTGTATGCACGACGGACGGACGGACACAATAATCCCCTGTGGGCTGGTGTAACCAGGAGGTTCCTACCAGTATAACAGCTCACTTGTTCATTGCTGACCTCAATGGGGGCTGGCTGACACCGGTATCTGACGCCAAAATATCGGTGGTTGGAGAAACAAAAACCACACACGGGAGAACACAGATTTCTGCAATCACGTAACGCTGCCTGCCTGCATCAAGTTGATTTCGCGTTGGGGTTACCTGTGTGTTCACGCTCACGTCGACTTTCGCCAGCTCTCACCGTCCGCGCGCGGGACTCCGTGCTCGGCCTAATTGTACCGCGGATTCACCATCACTCCTGGCCAACCTGGCACAGCAGCCGCAAGATGTCCCGTCAAGTATTATGTTGGGGTCCACGTGTGAACAAGTCGGAGGAAGATATTCATCAGACTCTTCAAATGGAACGTGAACTAACTAATGTGCCTCGAGCTTTTGGCAGAGACTTTATTCTTCGCTGACGACACAACTGTGCTCCTCAGTGTCACAATTGCTTTAAAGTCGAATGTCGGCTCACCTATGTGTATATCCATGGGACCGGGCAGTGAACATTTCAAGTTTCTTCTCGACAGCAGCGGTTGCTGCACGCCGAGCTGCGAACTGCCCCGTAACGTCTGTGAACGTTAGTATTATATTTTGTATTGTGTTGTATATCGCAGAGAATGACTACTACAGTACAAGGTATTCGATCATCTTATTATGTGTTTCAAGTAACACCTATAGCATCTAACTCCTATACATGCAGCTAATCTCCGAGCTTGACGCTTTCGCACGTGCCAGTTAAGTTGTGCTACGTCATTAAGTGGGTAAGGGGCCTCCCGCCAACAAACAAACACCTGCAACCTTGTTTTTTTGTCGGGGTTAGATCGCGTAAATATATAAATGTGTCCTTAAACCCGCCACCACCCGACACAGCCAATTAGTAAGGGTTGTCACGTAAACAGAACGTGGCCAATTCGTCACTAGTACAGCACACCGGTGTGTTGGAGAGCAAAGCCACAACATTTACCATCTGAGTACGACGTTTCGCCAGTAATTGCAACCAGCTTCATCAGGCGACAGCCAGATTCGTGGAGAAATCCTCCTGTTTCGTTCCTTAAAGTAGAGGGGTAGATGTGATGACGTCACTAAACATGTTTGGCAAAGCTCCCATGGTGTGTGTGTGTGTAGCGGTGGCGCAGTCATCGAGAGTTGCAGGCGGTGCAAATGCACCGGGGCTCACGGTCCGGACGCGCCTCAGTGTTAGTCTACAAAGAGTCGGGAATTGGAGAGGGGGCCTCAATTTCATTCCTTGCACCAGGGCCCACGCCACCGATGTGCGTAGCGCTTTTCACCGTGGAATTTGAGGTGGACCTTGACAAACCCCCGGCGATGCGCCGGCCTCAGGGGTGGAGCGAGGAGGCTCCAGGGTAAATATTGTAACATTCATCCTCGCCGCCACCCCCCCCCCCCCCCCTCCAAACTCGAACCCTCCGTCCGCTATCAAATACATCAACTCGCCGTCGAAATAATCGGAATGTGCCATGCATGTGGGAGTAGCCCATTGTTGGTGGCCTCCCACCTGCTTGCCCAAGCGAGACCCTAACCATCACGCCGAGTGGCAACATCGTGGGACCGCGAGCATCGTTTGGCTCTCCGAGCGTCGCACACGTTGTTTCGCGGGGATGATTTAGTTTTTGCCAGCGTCGCTGCTTCACCGCCGCACCGTAGCGGTAAGCCACATTGTCATTTTGGCAGAGCCCCCCCCCCATTTACAAATGCATTCCCCAAACGTTTAAGACATCTTGTCACGATGCAATTTTGTTAAGCTAAGTTTCAGTTGACCGTTCCATTAGTGTGTCGTATTAAATGCAATGTATGCCTTTGACTTGCCTTGGATTCGTGCCACGCAATTAACAAATTGTGCGACCCGGCTTGCGACGGCGTGACATTTATGCTGTTGTCTGCCGTCTTTGCCGCAAATGTTGGGTCTCGAGCATTTCAAGATTCAATATTCCTGTCACACAAGAAGACTCGAGCAATGCACGTCATGTGATTTTTTAAACATGAGGCGGTAAGAATGGCTAGCGAAACCTTGGAACCTGGATTTGGCATGTAGCCCCAGAATCAATTACGATGACTGAATTATGTATATGTTTTCCATCCTCAATATTTGATTTTTAAAAGAATAAATTGAACATATTTTGCCATACCTGCTTTAATACTGAACAACCTCTTGGTCTAAACGATGCCAATGTTTTTCCATTTGCTTGATTTAAAAGGTTGTGCACTTTCATAATTGTACCATTTTAAATGCAATGTTTTCATGGAGCCTTAGTTTAAAAAAACTGTTCATTTTTGCAGAATTATATTTTTGAGTAGAACCAGCATTGCCTAATATAATTGTTTACTTTTTAAACACTTTCTCACAATGCAATACAATATCATTGTTAATACAACAGGGAGTCATTATAATGTTACATTGTATATGTCTCTATTTGAATTGTTTTACATTTTGCCTACAAAGCATGTTTGGGATAGTTTCTTTGCATCTTCATGCCCTGCTTGCAGTCTTGAATAATGCTTACATTTCAAATGTGTGCGTTTAATTTCAATCAAAACACCAACTCTCTATTGCAGCCTGCTTCGGTCATTTGCTTATATTGAGCAAAGATTAAGTGATGGGTTTTTTAAAAAATTTTGTGCATAGAATATGATCTCGTGAGAGATAACACCTCAGCCGAAGTATTACACGCAACTTTGCTGAATTTCCTTTCAAGGGTAATGTTGAGGAGAGACAATGTCTTACGTTTATGACACCCTAAACATTTCTACTTTTTCTCTATCCAATTGAAAATCCCGAAGATATTTGACATGACCATTTATATGACTCTCTCTTATTGGCCACTCGTATTCCCTGAAAGGAAATGAATTCAGATGCACTTTCTTCCAATAAAAAAGACTCTCTGCACACCCCAGTCAGCTGTCTCAAAGTCAAAGCAAATGCCTGCTCGTATCACCACTGAGTCGGTGGAGGAAATTCTGATTTCCGTTGGGGAACGCGAGTCGAACCAAGGACAACCACTGTTGACTTCTCTACGCAGTGGTACTCTGTTTTCGTTCCCGCAGGTGATGGTGGGCTGAGTCAACTGCACCCCCCACCACCCCCCCCCCCCGAAGAATAAAACATTAACCCGTAAAAACAAAATTTTTCACTATAAATCCTTTATATGCGTGGCGGCTAGAGTCATCTCGTCCTCTGGCTTGAGATGGCTGCCACATATGGGTCAGATGAATGCCTGCCACCATTAAGCAATTGGTAATTAAATATAATTTATTTTTTCCTAAAAAGTGTAAAATCTTGGAAAAAAATTTTCACG